ACTAGGGGAGCCAAACTTTTTCTGATTACTTTTGTTGAAATATTTGCCACTGTTTGAAAATGTCAGAGAATAGCTGAACTTTAATTTATGCAATTAAGAAGACTTGAGAGCTTTAAAGTGCATTCACGTTTGTTCTTTCTAAGAAGGATTTTAAAAATGTATTAATCGACCGAGCTTAGGGTTAACAGGATTGGTTTTCCCTTGCTGCAGAGATTTATAATTATCCATGAATTCAGGAAAAGCGCGATTCGCTTTGAAACTACCTCTGGCCTTCCGCTTGCTGCTATGTCCGCTGGTGATTCAGTTACCCTTCTCGCACAACTTGTGCAAGCCCTATTTCATTCAATACCGAAGGCTGGCTTACCTACTTGGATGCTTACAGGCACATGCAAGGTAGTAGGCTGTGATTTTCCTTTGTAATGGCTTTCATCAGAGCGTTATCATGTCGCTTCCAGATCGATATCTATCTGATGCACACAACCTCGGCATTCTCAGTGTGGTGCTGGTTCGCGCTATCCATTTTGCGGTACACCGCTGTTTTCCATCCGATAAAATATAGAACAATTTGGAGACAACCTAGAAATGCTTTGAAGTGAGATCTTATTGATGTTTTATTTCTTATGGTGACTTTTAGCGGTAGTTTCAACATAACAACGGAAAGAGAAGGTAATTAAAACGAATTAATTGAATTCACTACCTGATAGAATAAATCCAAATTGTAATGGATGCTACTGTTGCTGAACATTGCTTATAGGAATAATAGCCACTAAACTTAACCGTTCAACTTCAATGAAATTATCAGAATTAGTCATCTATTGCATTCTTTACCTCAGCAGCTTTAAAAATTTATTGAATTTGTGGGTCTAAAGGAAGAAAAGAAATTTTGAATACTTGTTATCCATAATTCTAGACTTCTTGCGTGTCTATGTTGTCTATTCGAATCGTGGATTCTCTTCTTCGTCGTCTATAGCGAAGAAGGACGCTTGTGTGCCGAACATCCCAGCATTACTCCACATAATTTGAAGGTAGCTTTCAGTGTATTCGCGTTCCACTGGAAAATTAACAGTAGAAGACATTCCTCTCTTAAGTAAAATTACTGCCCATATCACTAAGTGAAGAGTTTGCTAGAATTTTACAGATTTTTTGCTAAATTTGTAACCTCTTTGAACCATAATTTAGGCTGCCCATTTGATGGATATCGCGTTGTTTTATGCAATACCTTCACTACTACGAATATTTTTTGATGGTGTGGTTTTGTTTCAATGTTACAGTCCATCGTCGATGATGGACATGCCTCTATACGAAAGAAGATATGCAATTAGTGTGCCAACGAATAATCGAAGGTAAATATTATACTATTTGGGTTTTTTTTAAAGTGTGTAGATTTGAATTTCGATGGGGACGTA